GCCCTGAACACGTCCATGATACGGACCCGCCCTGAACACGTCCATGATACTCCCTGAACACGTCCATGATACTGGACCCGCCCTGAACACGTCCATGATACGGGACCCGCCCTGAACACGTCCATGATACTGGACCCGCCCTGAACACGTCCATGATACGGACCCGCCCTGAACACGTCCATGATACTCCCTGAACACGTCCATGATACTGGACCCGCCCTGAACACGTCCATGATACGGTCCATGATACTGACCCGCCCTGAACACGTCCATGATACGGGACCCGCCCTGAACACGTCCATGATACGGGACCCGCCCTGAACACGTCCATGATACGCCCTGAACACGTCCATGATACTGGACCCGCCCTGAACACGTCCATGATACTGGACCCGCCCTGAACACGTCCATGTTTGACATTTTTTAATTAGTCACAGCGCCACCTGTGTAACAGGAAGTTACTGCTTCTCAATTAGCATTAGCCATTGCTACACGGTAGCTAATTTTCCCCTCAAAATTGGTGTGGACCATGCTAACACCTTGGCAATACAACAGTTTAAAGCTCAAACGCCTACGTCCAACACTGTCGCCATACGGACGTGTCGCTTGCCATCAAACAGGAAGTACTTTTTTCATGGGCTTAACATAGTCGTACTGTCCCAAAACTTCATACATATAATCCTGGTAGTAAAGTCAAACATCTTATACCGTTTAAGTGAGTGGGCGTGCCTTAATGGCTCAGTGGCGCCCCCTACAATATTTCAAACATTCAGCCCCCGCAGCACGTTGAACCTACAATTCAGAATCTTACTATGAATTTCCAACATGACAAAACCTACAAAAAAGCCTCTTCAACCCACGGCCAAAACTCAACAGGAAGTCCACAAATCACATAGCCATCAAACAGGAAGTGGCTCTAACTCTTATATACTTTGTCTGATCTTCTTGAAATTACATAGGTATGATCAGGGTTGGCCTCTGAACACAGTGACACAAAACAATAATAAAGTTTAACCATAGCGCCCCCTACTGCAAGGACTAAGTACTACATCATACATACTATCTCCCTTCTGCTTAAAATTTCCCAGGTATGATCAGGGTTGGCCTCTGAACACATTGACATAGCAATCATTTCCTTTAACCATAGTGCCCCCTACTGCAAGAAGTAAGTACTACATCTTATATACTTTGTCTGATCTTTTTCACATTTCTCAGGTATGTTCAGGGTTGGCCTCTGGACACAATGATAAACAATAATAAACTTCAACCATAGTGCCCCCTACTGCAAAGATTAAGTACTACCTCCCATATACAATGTCAGATTTGCTCCAAATTTCACAGGTATAATTAGGGTTGGCCTCTGAACACAGTCACATAACTATAACAAATTTTAACCACAGTGCCCCCTAGTGCAAACAATAAGTACTACCTCCCATACACAATGTCAGATTTGCTCAAGATTTCACATGAACAATGTCAGTACTGGCCTGATCACATCTAACCTAATACAATTATTCCATTAACATAGCGCCTCCTACTGGAAAGAGGCGGTACTGTATCTCAGATACTTTGTCTGATCTGCATAAAATTTCACAAGTATGATCAGGGTTGGCCTCTGTACACTTTAACATAACAATAGTCAACTTCAACCATAGTGCCCCCTACTGCAAGGACTACATCCTATATACTTTGTCTGATCTGATTGAAATTTCACTTGTATGATCAGGGTTGGCCTCTGAACACATTGACATAACAATAGTCAACTTCAACCATAGTGCCCCCTACAGCAAAGAGTAAGTACTACATCCTATATACAATGCTCAATTTCCTCCAAATGTTATAGCTATCATGACAGTGCCAGCCTGAACTGCTCTACGTCAAAATTTTATGTCATCTTCATTACGTTGTCTATTTCAACATGCCAGTACTACGACTTTTACACATATTGAACTGCACGGCCTGCTGCTTTGCCACGTTCCGCTGCTGCTGCACTCCCGCGGCCGCGACACACCCCGACATGCACAGGGGTGCAAGGGCCCTTCATCACCGCTTGCGGTTTTAATTTAGTTCTGTATTTCAGAGGTAAGATTTCTTTATCTGGTGTTGGTTTTCCCTTGTGTGGTTTCTAGTTTAGTCTTTTGTGTTTCCTGTTTTATTTTGTAATTTCTTATCCTTGTGTTTCTTTGTTCTAGTGGTTATGTTACATTTTCCCCTTGTCAGTTGTCAGATGTTCCTTCAAGATGCTCCTGTGTAGTTTCCTCGTGGCTTGTTTTCTTCTTTTTTACTTTTAGTAAGTACGTTTTTGTTTGCCTTTTCGTTGAAATAAATAATTTTTGTTTATACTGCAATTGGGTCCAGTTCCCTGTTTTCTCTGCTGGAACAAAAAACAATATTCTGGTCAATGTGATATAGGCCAGAACCACGACATGAAATGCCTCCACTTTGCAAACCAATGAGGTAAATAAAGATAATTTCTGTTTGTTCTGTGCTTTTGTAACTCTGAGGATATGAGTTAAATAATCACACGACAACTGAGTAAATAAAATGTATGGATGCATGTTCTCTTTGGGCTTCCATATTCCACTTTTCTGTGTCTTAGCCCAAATATGAAAATTACAGATAAAACACACATCCATATCCTTTGCTTCTGTGCATTTCACAAAATGCAAATGAGGTATCTCTGAAGCCTAGTGTAGAGTCTGCTGATGATAAGGATCTCAGGATTACTTACTGATTGATCCTAATCTCCTAAATCATGTCAAGTAGAGCTCCTCAACGTGATGGAAACTTCAACGTTGAGGCTACTAGACACCGTCAGATTATGGCCAGGGATTGGATTATCACTGCTAATCCAATTACACGTGTTGCTCCGTAATCGGCTGCTAAACTGGGCTCATTCTAAGGATGACCTCATAGTGAGAGTGAATCAATCATGTTTGTTTTTGGGTTTTTTTGTGTTACAAGTAAACATTCATTTTAGACAGACATTTTAGATAGTACATAGACTATACAATGTTCAATAACCAAATCATGCTGTAATGTAATATTGTCCTCTTCATGCACATGCACATCTTTAATGTAAATACTGTAAAAAAAATCTACCTCATGTAAATTAACCATCAGTTACATAATCACATATTTACCATCAATCTCATCTCAGCATTTTTGCACTACTCACCATTGCACTATTGTCTTATTTAGCCTTGTATATATTATTCTTTGCTTGTCTTTATATTTAATGTTATACTTTTGTGCATTGAGAGCACAGTTCACCAAAGACAAATTCCTTTTATGTGTAAGCATACATGGCCAATAAAGTTGATTCTGATTCTTAATTCAGACCACATTTAGGCTTTTTCGTAAAATATTATAGTGGACAGAGGAAGAAAGGCTGGTATGACATTTCTGCACAATGGATGACAAACAGACAGACAGGGAGTCTGCAAGTTTAATTTATTTTAATGTATAATTTATTTTTTATTGATCAATAAATGCACATTTCAGGCGACCCTATTTGAATTGCACGCGACCCACACAAGGTCAGGACCCCCAGGTATGCAACCGAATGTAGGTGTTTGTATCAAAGTCAAAGTCAAAAGTCAAAGTCAACTTTATTGTCAATTTCAAAATATGCCAGACATACAGTGGAATTGAAATTGCGTTTGTCTCCGTCCCACGGTGCAATACAACCAAAATAAGGTAAAAAAGATAAAATAAAATAAGGTAAAATAGATAAAATAAAATAAGGTAAAATAAGATAAAATAAAATAAGGTAAAATAGATAAAATAAAATAAGGTAAAATAAGATAAATAATATTTCCAGTAATAAATTCTAAATAGTGCAAAAGGTACAAAACAAAGAAAAAGTAAACTTGAAATGTGCAATATGTGCAATGTATCTTTGGGTTATGGTTATGATTATTTTTTTTGTTTTTGTTTTGTTTATATGTTGCCATCAAAATATATCAATACTAATAATATTCAACTGAAATTAAAGTTTCAAATCAAAAATCAAAACATACAGTAAAATCTGGCTTTTCAAAGTAAAAGGCAAAACCCCCCCAAAAAAACGAGGAGATGATATGGTTCAAACAAGTATAGCACACTCACTCAAAAAACTTCAATACATTCAGAACTCTGCAGCCCGTCTCCTCACACACTCCTGCACCTGTCTCACCTCCTCCACCGACACACTCCCACCCGCACTCTCAGGTCTGCAAACCTCCTGTCCCCCCCCCCCCCCCTGCAGGACAAACCTTCGGTCCTGGGGGGGACAGGGCCTTCTCTGTTGCTGCTCCCACCCTCTGGAACTCACTCCCAAAAAACATTAGAGACTCCCCCACACTCACCTCCTTCAAGAAATCCCTCAAAACTCACCTCTTCAACATTGCCTACAACAGGAATGGGCAACTTTGGTCACGGCAAGGGCCACATTCAATTAATTCTCCCTGCCAAAGGGCCAAATTGTAGTATACAAAAACGATTAATTATGAATCAATTATTTAAAAAAAAAAAAAAAATTATGTCTCAAATTTAACTCAACATATGCCAGTGATCAAATATTATTATGGATGTATTTCTGGTTTTCATGATTTCATGGCAGATTTTGTCACATTTTCTTCATGTTTCCAATTTATTTATATGTAAAAAATTGACCTGAGGGCCACATTGAGGGTTCATGGGGGCCGCATGTGGCCCCCGGGCCGCCAGTTGCCCACCCCTGGCCTACAACCACTGACTCCAACCCCCCCCCCCCCACACACACATTACTTCTTCATTGTACTGTCCTCGTCGTTTTTTGTTTTGTTTTTTATGGTTTTGTATTTTGTCAAAGCGTCTTTGGGTTCCTAGAAAAGCGCGATAAAAAAAACAATATATTATTATTATTATTATTATTATTATTATATATTAGCCTGTAGCTTGTGACGTCAGACGAAGTGGTCCAGCATCCGGAAACAGAAAAAAAAAAAAAAAAAAAAAAAGTACAACCGATGACGACGTGACTCCACCTCATGATGCCGTTTAGCAACAGATGAGCAGCGTTTCGTGATCCTGTTGAGGGGGGCGGGCAGCACAGACCAGAGACCCAAAGACCAGAGACAGTAAGGGGAACACCTCTGACTAAGGACGGGGGGGGGAGTAATGTTTGCCAGGGTCGCGGTGCTTCCCGTCTCGTAGCAGGTTCACTCTGGACCCCCCGGAACCCCCCGGACCCCCCCTCGCGTGTGTTTCAGTTCGCTATGGAGGTCCTGTGGACGGTTCCGCTGCTGCTGCTGATCCCGCTCCTGATGTGGACCAGCAGCACGTTTGTTTTCTATTTCAAAAAGTGCTTTTACGTCGCCTACATGATGTGCTTGGCCCTGTTGGCGATCCCCCTGTGCGTCCTGAAAAGCGGAGGCAGAGACGTGGAGAACATGAGGTGAGTTCTGTTTGCATTACAAATGTCGTCTGACAGCTAGCCGACGTTAGCATGCTAGCTGGCGTTTTCACTAGACTTCACTCGCTCTGATTTCCTGTCTCTCTCTCTCTCCCTTTTTTTTTGTTGTAGCTTAAGGCTATGTAATCACAACAACACTGCAACACCAGGGAGCTTCTAACCCGCTAGTATGTCTCACACTTAAACAAAAATGAAGACATGAAATAAATGATTACATTATGCATTTGTAGAAAACAGATGCTAACAGAGAAAAAAGCGAGAGTGGTAGCATAAACGTTTAGCATCAGGTTTCTGGTTTTAGTTCTCAGAGAAGCAAGTCTGGTCGTGTTTTCTCTTTTTATATGCGAGGGGAAAACAAAAAGAACTAGCTGTAGGTAATGGAGTCTTCTAATTTCATCAGCAAAGTTACTTTATTTCAGAGTAGAAATGTGACACACAGTCAGAGGTGCTGCTTGTCAACAGGCAGGGCAGGCAACTGATTGGGGCCCCGGACCAGTAGGGCCCCCCCCCCCCCCCCCCCCCCCGAGACGCAATAATGAGAATATTCGTCTTTATATGCAGTTAATGTATGAATGCATGTCAGAGTAACTGCTTCAAGAAAGCTTGTGGTTTGAGTTTCAAAGACGGGCTTTATTGCTGGATCGCACGGTTTGTGTGCTTTAAACAGGCACACTGACAACTCGCTGGCATTTGGTTGCATTAAAAAACATGCAACCGTTTATATACACGGCCTCTACGATCTCCGTGCACGTCATTAAACGTCTGCGTTCTGTTTTCTGTTGGTCAGTATGTTGTTCTCCTCTCTTTTGTGGATGTTGTCATTCCATTGGATTACACATAGCATTGATTTAAAGGCAATTATTCTCATTATAACGTCGTGTAGCGGACTCTGTTGCTTCGGCCGCTACTTCCGCGTTGTTTATTTACGCCACCTCTTACGTGGGGATCCGATTCCCCCGATCCCCCCCCCGACAGGGAAAGTCCCCTGCTGTGAGGAGCATATGTGAATGGCTAGGTCGGGAGAATCTCCGGAGAAGTCCTCCTGTAAATATCTAGATATTGTCCGGAGTGCAGATGTGAAAACGGATTTTGTTTTTGCTAGTTTTGAATTTAGAGGTGCCTTTTTGATGAAACTCTAGCAAGCTCAATTTGGTTTAACTTTGGTTTTTAATGCAACCAATGCCAGCGAGTTGTCAGTGTGCCTGTTTAAAGCACACAAACCGTGCAATCCAGCAAAACAGCCCTGCAATAAAGTCTGTCTTTGAAACTCAAACCACAGGCTTTCTAGAAGCAGTTACTCTGACATGCATTCATACATTAACTGCAGATCATTCCATTTATTATTATAACATCTTTTTATTTATTTATGCATATAGCACTTCATAAATACTCGGTTACAAAGCGCTTCACAAATAAAAGCAATCAAACAAAATTGACATAAATAAATCTCAATGTCAAACAGGGGGAAAAAAAAGGATCAGGCTAACAGAAACAAATGGAAAGGTTTTGGGAGTGACATGAAGGCTTGTCTGTACAGGTGAGTTTGAATTGTGGGAGCTGTTTCCAGAGGGGTGGGGGCTAAGACAGCAAAAGTAAGATCACCTTTAGTTTTCCAATTAGAGCGTGGGATAGAAAGAAGGTCGGGATTAGATGACCTGAGTGAACGAGGGGTGGAATTTGGAACGAGGAGGTCGGACATGTAGCTGCGGGTGAGGTCATGCAGTGCTTTGTATGTTACTAAGAGGATCTTGTAGTCGATTATGAATCTTTCTGGAAGCCAATGGAGGAAGGCAAGAACAGGGTTTGAGTTAATAATCTATCAGCTGCACTTTGAACTAAATGTAAAGGGTTATATGATGATTGACTGAGGCATGTAAAGCGAGATTTGCAATTATCTAGAAGGGGAGAGCATTGGTCTGGTTTAAGAGATATTCCTTAGCTGCAGGAAACAGGTCTGTACAAGTTTAGTGGGTGTTATAGTCCAAGGTCTAACAGGAAATGTCTCTATTTAGTTTAGATAGCAATCGCAGTGGCTTCAGAAAGGGTAGTAATAAACACAAAGTTTGCAAACTAATGAATATGAAATTAGATGTTCGATAATTACTAAACCTACAGATGTGAGATTTCATTTAAAAAAGTATTTTGAAAAAAAAAAAAAAAAGAGAAATGATCGTGCAAGCAAGCAGACCGCCTGGTGAGAAGTCATACAAATAATGAAAAGTAGAAATATACAACACTTGATCATTCTTAAACATAAACAAAAAGTTTATGTAAAGTCAACGGAAGGAGATCTAATCGTATAATATTTTTTTATGCATACCAACACATCCTTAAGAGATAATATGTATCCCTTTATGTGAGGGAAGGTATAGTGAGATGGGAAGAGGGAGTGTCTTTCTTCCTCCTGGTCTAATTATCTGTAAGCATAAGGAAACAAACTTTAGATTAAAATAAAACAGTCACAAACTGCTTTGGATTACTAGAGTAATTTAAAATTGTCTTAGCAGTGGTCTCTCATATCTTGTTGTAAATTTGTAACTAAATATGAGAAACACACAGTGAGTGAAAATAGTTGAAAATGGCAACAACAACAAACTTATAATGGTGTACATTAACTTTGTCCAAATGACCCATTGACAAGAGGAAGTATGTTATTCTACACTTGACACACACTGACCAGGTTAACCGGTACTGGTCAGGATTGAAATGTAGTACGCCGCCTTTGGTCTCAGTGTCCGCTTTGCAGCTAGGAGGTACTTTGTTGTTGTGGTTAAATCTGGACAGTGAGGACAGATTGCTTTACATAAGTGACTGCATTCCAGTAATTACCTGGAAGAGACCGATGCCAGATGGTAAGAAGTCCCCCCCCCCCTCCTGATTAGTTCTAAGGCCCATCCATGCTGCATACTCATGGCCTGGATGTGTGCTGTCACTTACAACAACTGACTGTGCTGCCTCGCTGCTCTAGGAATAACTGTTTCACAGTCATGTTAGCCGTGGTGGTGGTGTCGTGTTGCACCAGTGCACCGTTATGTCTGCTCAAAGGTTATCTGGACCTGTTGAATGTGACAATGCGACTGAGGCAGGGGTCAGACCTTCAGAACGAGGGGCTGAATGGGGGTTTTTACACACCAGCTAGGTCTGGCAGAAAGAGTCCTGTGATTCATCAAGGACAGAGCAGTCTGTCACAGCCATTTGCTGTCAGACTTGGTGCACAAAGGGCTCAATTCTGTGGATGACTGCTTGCTTCCCAGCTGACATGGAGGACTGGAATGTAACACAGTGAAACCATGTTGTTATTGAACAGGCCTCAACAGTCAAAAGCATCCATGGAACTCATCTGCATTACTATCTTTATCTTTACTGTTGTGCTTGCATTCTCTGAAACACTCATTAGTGATGAATCCGTCTGAGGAGATTGTATCCGGCTCTGCAACTGTCTCGAATTTACACCAATCTCTTTTTAAGCAAAGCAAACAAGACCATCAAGAGGAAGATAGACTATTTCTACAAAGCTATTCTTACTTCCACTCTGTCTTTGAGACAGAGTGTTCGGTATGCAGACTGAAGAGCCTTTTGTTTACATTTTTACAGGCACAGTTTGCAGTAAGTGGTGCATTAGACAGTCACAAGGAAGATGGAGGTGATTCTTTATCCAGACAAAAGTGTAAAAATATTAACAGGGCAGGATCAGAGAAGAGAGACAAAATCTGAGACTCTTTTACAGAGATTTTTTTTACAGTGAGAGAGCACTGGTGCAAACTCATGTAAACACTCCTGTGACAGGTTTATATTACGTCTGTTTTATTTACAAAAGACATCGTAAGAGGGTCTGTGTTCCATGGAGCTGATGGCTTCATGGACATTATAGTAAAATAACCAACTTAACAAGCTGTCGTTTTAGTTATTCTCTTACCGATGCCAGAAACAGTGTTGGCCGCCAATACTGACTTAAATGCGGTATGATGTAGCAGTGAGTATCCCAATACCACCATTAAAAATACCCAGGTATCAGGTTTTTGTTGCTAATTTTTGTTGCTAGATGGTCTATCTGTGTGTAGCATGCCCCATTTGTGAAGACTTTGGTGCTGGTTGCAGGACTGTTGGTTCATTTCCGACCTCAGCCCTTTGGTAACTACCCCCCCCCCCCCCCCCCCCCTGGCATTTCCTGTCTGTGCTGAGCTGTTCTATCCAAAACAGGTAAAAAAAAAGAAGAAGAAACAAACAAACAACAACAGTGCACTTTACATTGGCAAAAGGCTAAAACCATTTACCATTTCCTCCACTAATAACATTTTATTTTTAACCCTGCTGGTACAGTTGGGATACTTTCTGTCAGCTGATACTTGTGTATCATGTCTAGGAAGTCGGTACCTGGAAATAACCTATGGTAAATAAAGCACCCCTCGGTGAGACCACAGACATGGACATAGTCCCAGTGACGTTATCTGTTGGTTTCTTAAGAGGTGTTATGAATGGCCCTCACCATATTAGAAATACAATTTGAACCAAACTTGAAGCAAATTGAGACAAAGGCAGAGAGGTCGTGCTGAGGCAGGCAGATTCACCTTTTATTAGTGGCTGCTAGGACCTGAGGGGGATTCCCTGGCTTTTGGAGCCAGCCTCAAGTGGACACTGCCAAGAACTGTAGTGTTTTGCACTTCTGGATAACAAGTGACTTTTCAACAGCTGAGGTTGCAGTTCGGGTGTAACTCACAACTTTTCAATGTTTTCACATTGCATCTATTAAACTTGCAAAGCCAAAAACAGACACATTATCAACTCTTTAAATATCCTTACTAAAAGCTGTCTTTTAAAGGGAATTTATTAGAAAGAAATTGTGTGTTTCTCTCACTTGCTTCCTCAACAAACAAGATCCAACAACTTTGCTTTTCCAAAATCAGCACAAGTTTAGAAGTCCCCACAGCTGTTTTACTTTGTTTAGTGTTACATCACAAAGTTTCACCTGTCACTTAGGCAAATGTCTTCTTTTGGCTGAGGCTCCAACTTTAGTTATCAGCTAGGATCTCATTACAACCGATAAAGATCTGAAGCCTAATCTTCTCTCCAACAATGGTTTGATCTGAGATTCCTCAGTGTGTAATGTCCTTTAATATCAGCAGGAGATAATCTGTGTTGTTGTCTTTTTGACTGAGCAGTAATGTTGTCACTCAGACCAGACAAGGATGACTGATTATGAATGAATCCTCTCTGCTGTGTCATTCTGGCCTTGACCCTGCCACTGGGTGTTTGTTTGTTGGTTTATTACTTTGAAAGAAGAAGGTAAAGCTCACCTTTTGTATCCCTAAGCAGCCTGGTTGTATTGAATCTATGCAGGCACAAAAGGAAGTTATTTAGAGACAGATAATGAAATGAGGCAAAAGGGGAAGGCTGAGTGGATCGGCCATCCAACCAAGGCCATTCATTTCATTCCCCTTGAACAGTCTCTCAATTGCTGCAACACTGGCTTGAGTCATTGCATAACCAGTTGAATTTGCACAGGACTGAGTGTGCTATCATTGTACTGCTGTGGTGCAAGATAACCCAGAGACTGTTTTCAGGTTTAAAGGTTAAAGTCATAGTACTGCACTTTGGTATATTTGCAGGCGGAGCCGAAGTTGGCTTTAAGTGAGCCACAAAACATGATTTCATTAGAGAGAGCGAGAGAGAGAGAGCGAGAGAGCGAGAGAGAGAGAGAGAGAGCGAGAGAGAGCGAGAGAGCGAGAGAGAGAGAGAGCGAGAGAGAGAGAGAGAGAGAGAGAGAGAGAGAGAGAGAGAGAGTCACGGGACGATGAGTTGGGAAGCTTTCTCATGACTTTGGTAACAAGAGCAGTCAGTGTGAGCGTTATCTTTTCATTTTGTAATTAACATCACTTTGATTTGATTAGAAAAAAAGGAAGGTATGGGTACTTGCTCAGCTGTTTTATTATCTCCCAGCAGAGAGTAAGAAAAATATTGTTTGGCAGGAGTTACTATGGTGATCATACGCCGTTAAAAAATAAAGAAAAGGCTATAAAAATGATTCCCACCATTACTATTTTCCCCAAAACTTATTTTAGATTTTGTTATTCTAAGCTCAACTTCTCATAGATTGAGTTGCAACCAGAGTCCCGTGGGTGGGGTGGGTCGGGGTGGGTGGGTAGACCCTCCAAATCAGTGGTAGACACTGATTCACAGAGAACTACAAATCCCTGTTCTCCTTACTTACAGCTAACAGCACTTGGGCTGCCTTTCTGAAAGAGTATTTATGTCAAGTCAATGCTCTCTTTGGTCTCTCTATCCTCAGTGGATGGGTGATAAAATAATCAGGCCTTTTATCAGCACGTAATAAAAGGATTTAAATGTACTAATCACCCTTTCAATCCTCTATAATGTGCATAACAAACGTGAGTTACCACAGCAAGACCGCTGATCATTCAGTTTATTTTCTTTTGGAACTCAATATTAGAAATGATGATCTAAAATGATTTGATCTGTGAGTGTTTTCTCTGTCAATAAAGCACAAAGCCCATTATTCGGGTACATGGTATTTTTAAAACGAGGGCACATGAGGACAACAGGAGGAGGAGGAGGAGTGAGTCTTAGAGGGGATATGATTCACTGATGAGGAAGGGAAACGATGAGATGTGTGGTTTTTTGAAGTGATGATTTCTCTGGCTGACAGAGAATGAGGAGGGATTGTTGTTTTCTTTGACAGAAAAGGTTGTTTAAGTTTTGTGTTGTAATGGGGGCCAGTTTCGGTGTGTTGCATAGGAGGGGGAAAAAAAAGCTCATCTGTTATCCAAAATGTGTGGTTCAGCTTTTGCAAAAGACAAATCCTGGCCTAACCTGACACCAAAGGCAGATGCAGAGGGGACAGTGGGTTGCAAGACAATGCATCCTGCTTTCAGTCTTTATTATTAGACACCCTCAATCATCTGTTTCTTGTGAGTCTCACTTTAACTGTAAATAGTAAGTTACACAGAGGCTTCACTCTGGCTTACTTCAGCGGTATGAACTGGGGCTGTGCTCCAAAAATCGATATAGCAACATATCGACTTGTGCGCCTTTCAAATACTGTACATGTATCGATGCAGATGTTACAGAATCAATGCGGCTGCAAAGCTGTGATGATTGCTTTGAAAGACAATTGACCTATGGTGCAGTGCACAATAACGCCATAGCGCTGAGATTCAAATATTTTAATGTATTTCTAGGAACTCTAAGGACCTGTCTAAGTTGTTGGATCCATATGCATCTGCTGTCTGGGGTTCAAATCCAGCCTATGGCTCCCTTTCTGCATCTCAATCTCTACTCTTTCTCTCGCCCCAAATTCTGACTCTTACGACTGCCCCCTCCCTTACCACCCAAAAAAGAAAAACATATTATCCCTTACCCACGTTTTTCTTTTTATCTCTGTCTGCCGTTCTACATGTTTTACACAACTTGGGTTTGCAACATGTCGTGTCCCCCCCCCCCCCTTGACCGTTAGTGGAGAGAGAGAGGAAGCATGGTGGGGGAGAGGGCTATGACGGCAATTGCCCCCAACGATTTTGTTATTGTACAAATTACATGCTGTTGTTGCTTTGCAGATGTTTTTAGCATAAAGTGGAAGATGTGATAAATCCTGTTGAATGACGACCAGATGTTGACCATGAGTTGAGGGATGAGATGTTGCTTATAGTCGGGGTCTTAGATCTGGAAGAGGCTGCCCTTCCAACCTTACACATCAATAACAGACCTTTTCAGATTAGTAACAACATAAGTGTGTCTGAGGTGAGAGCGTGATGGTTGCAGAAACTTTTACGGGGTCAAAGTGTGAATATCATTGAGATGAGTGCTTGAGTTTGACAAAACATTTCATTTGAATGGTGTAGCAGCCAAGATTAGATTATGACACCAGTGTCATCCTGTCGCTTGTTGTCAAAGACCCCATTTATTTACTTTCTGTGTGAGCAGAGGTCACTTTGGATATATCTTAGCAGAGTTCAATCCACACTCTTATCTCTGAATAATGTCTCTACAAAGGTTGAATCACAGAAGATGAACCCTGACCAGAGAGAGCAGAAAGCAGACACATCAGTGTTGAAATGTTTGTCTTCATCAGAGCTGGAAATTTTCAACTTAATGTTTTCTCATCCATGAAGGGCTTTAAACTTCACAAAGACATCATTAAAACACAAGTAATATTGATTTGAGATTCTCTGATTTTATTTATTTTTCAAATGAGTTGTCTGATTTGATGTCTTGAAGTTGTTAGTAGTCTTCCCTCCTTTTGAAAGTTCACTGGAACTTGTCTTACAAACTGCATAGATCTAATCTTTCTCAGAGACGATGTAAGACTCCCACACTGTCTACATTTTCTTTTGATGTTTGAGCATGAAAACTAATCAAGACTTGGTCCAAAAGGGGACTCCTTATCTCCAATAAATAAGAAAAAAAACCTCTTCTCTGAATCAGCAGTTAGTTACTGACTTGTCAGCATTAAATTGATGCAAGTAATTGATGTGTAACTGCTAATCAGTAACACATTGACTACAGCACTGATATCAGCTGATACTATACGATACATCGGTGCATCTCTAGAATCAATACCTGTTTCGTTATCCAAGTCCTTGGCACCCAATATTGCACAAGTTCTTGTTTTAAATCCCCCAAAAATCACAAGCAAAGTCCTGTACATTGTCAGGGCACAATCACACTAGGCAATCCGAACCATGCCTAAGCACGCTTCACCCCTAAAGTCCAGTTTGTATGACCAGTGTGAGTGCTCCAATCAGTGCTCAGGCCCGGTTAGTCCTGGAGCAGTGTGAGTGCAGGCCAGCGGGGGAATATAGAGGGGGGACAATCGTGCTCCAGCACGGTACGGAACAACTTTGCCAAGTGTGAGTGCGCCCTTAGTTGCACAAATATGTTGGCAAGGTTTCGCAGCTTTTGTGCAATTTAGACACAGCCTCACCTCTTCTGCTCTCTGTCTGTTTGCAAGAGACTTAAATGTAACTTTTGATTTTATACGAGGTTTCAAAAAGACTTTAGACGATGCTTTATTCTTAAAATGTTCCTAAAAGAATAATGTTTGCATTGAAGTGTTTTTGGACTGAGCAAGAAACTAAGTTTCTCCTTCCCACTCCACTGCTGTTCAGAGTTATTGCACATTTGAAAGATATTTCCACACTACTGAAAACATGTTCCTATGGTAGTAAGGGACATTTTCATTACTATGTTGTTCAGTTTTGTTTTTTTCAGAGGCAGACAGATGGAAGGACAATCTTTCTTTTAGTTTATTGGAGCGTTGTATTTATCCTCAGGCTGTTATTTAGCCAACCAAGAAACAAACATCTCTAATAGGGACGTTGTTCATAATCTACCAGATGTTTTTTTTCTTATCTTGAGCCATGATTTTACTGTTATTTAGGTCACGTCTTTCATATCTGACCTGACATTCTTCAAATGTATTTAACATGCTTTATTGTCCCATTGTTTCCACATAGGTCTCTTGTTAATAACATGCAGCTTTACGTGCTACACTCACATGACAGATACTGAAACCTTGACTCACACAGGACTGTTGTGATCCTCTCCCCCCCCCCCCCCCCCCTCAGGATTATCCGCTCCCTGGTCCGCCATGTGAAGTATTTCTTGGGTCTGCGGTTTGAAGTGAGCGGCTGGGAGCATCTGCAGACGGAGGGACCCTACGTCATCATCTCCAACCACCAGAGCTCCCTGGATGTTTTGGGTGAGTCGTCCTGTAACGTTGTTTCTGTATGAAAGAAAATGTGATGCATCTTGGGAAATAAGATGATTTTCCAGTGAAATCTGGTCTAAACATTGACGTTTGATCAAGTCTTCAAAAGCCTTTTTTTCACATATCCTTATGAACATTTATAGAGATGTTCACACAGTCAGCCCCTGATATGTCTGAGTTGCTTGTTCATCCTGACAGCAGGAAGTTTTCCATTTGGATGGGATTGCATTTATAGCAATGCTACGTGTTGGACAGTATAAAAAGCAAAGAAGAAGATACCGGCAAGAACATGATGAAGCATTAATGTGACGTGCATGAAGATCACACAGGTGGCATGCTTTTTGCAGGATATAAAGGTATTAATCCCGCCCACTTGTATGTACTGAAATTCCCTCAATATCACCAGCTGTGGTCACTCATTAGCTCACCCTGACTTCCTGTAGAAACACTACTGGGTGGCAGTAAGCGGGGTGAAACATTTGGTTGTATGTGCAACTCAGAAAAAGTTGCTACAATGTCGGTTCACTTTTGCATCACTGTTGTATTGGGTTTTAAAGCGTTCTCTTAACTCTCACTCATATAGGCAGAAATTTTCTTTTGGACGCAGATGCCAATATTACATTTTAAAGCCTATTATTGACGAATACTGACCAGTATTTTCCTACATCCTTTATTGATATCGCTCTCAAAACAACAGATGTAAAAATGTTATATTCTCTGCTTGCAGAAATCTTATATTGCGTGAAAACCATGCAAACATGGACTGTGTTATTTATGGATCTGAAATAAAGGTGCTCTTTCTTAGCTTCAATTTAAATGCATTTCAGTCTAAATTCCACTAACTTTGACCTTATTGCATTTGGAAGGATTGTGTTTTAAAGATCTTAGGATTTCAATACTGACTGTGGAAAGTGATGAAAAATAGTTCTTTAAATAGAAGCTTTTTCACGGCTCTTGATGTTATAAGTGTTTGTTCATCTCAGGTTGTCTGCTACTTCAAACCAAATCAGATTAACCAGAGAAGCAGTTCTACTTTGTTGAACTTTCAGCAGCTCACCCGGAGCAATCTGACACCAGATTTGTTGCACTCTGGGACATTTGTGGACACTTTAGTTAGAGGAGCAGCTCTCCTCTGCAGCAGCAGATGAAGGAAGTTGCGGTTAAGCTCCGACAGAGGGGATTTCTGACTCCGCTTTGGAGTGTACATGTGGTGAATCTGCACTCCCAGGTCAATAAAACACACAAACTGGTACTACTCAATGGAACTAACAGGGATTATCCAGTCTCTGCTGTCCTGTGAATCGTGAAAACCTGCTGAGGTGAAACTGAAAGTACTTCAGAGCAACCAGACATGGAGGGATGTTGTTACATTTCCAGAACTGGATGATTTAAGAATAAGTATGCTGACTTTTTCTGGTTAGTGTCGACGTCACACTTCAAGCTTTTGAGGATTTAAGAGAGGCTTTTCCTGGAGAAAGCTTTGAACTGCTGAAATACTGGGTCTGCTCCGAGGGCACTGACTTACAATGAGACACTGGAAGAGCTCACTGACACTGGAAACCATCCCCTCACTCTCACTATATTTATTAACGACCTGCAATGACCTGAATGTATCTCAGTGTAGGGAAGAAAGGACCGAGGCACATGTGATCTTTACGCTCATGAAGTTACCAGAAAAACACACTTTACATCCATTCAGATTTCAGCCCATGGGAAACCTATGTGATATGCCTTGGGCTTTAGACAGGGACTATGTTTAAATATATATTTGACAGTCATGATCAGAACAGGGATGTTCCTAAGTGACTAATTTCACTGTCGATTGAATGCCAACTTTAGTTCAGACTAGTCGACTATTCTTTTTTTTATTTTATTTTTATTAGTTTGCACAGATGATAAGAAAACATACAGTTGGCACAAAGAGTCAACATTGTACTGTGGTCATCTTTAGTAAACCCCATTCCTGCCTTCTCCCAACCAACCCAGTTAACCCCATACCCACCCACCGAGTCAGGAATCCTATTCCCACTCTGAAGGTAGCCTTTCTTCCACAGTAGCCTACCCAGGAGTCTCATTCACACTCATGCATACTAGGACAAGGAGCAAGAAGAGAGATGAAATAATAAATTAATAAAGTAAATGAAGAAAAAAACCATTAGAAAAAATTAAATTAAAAACAAATTAAATTAAATTTATTTTAAATTAACAAACAAAATAAACAAAACAGACACAAAACAAAACTTCAAGATAGCACCTAGTCGACTATTGTAACGTTCAGAATAAACTCAGAAAACATCCAAATTGAGGACAGTTCGTGTGAAGAACGTCCGATTGGTTTGCCGAGTGTAGCTCACATTAGCATGGCTAGCACCACCAGCCTTCAGTCCTCTTTGGAGGTTAACGTCCACATGCCTGAGCTGAATTTGTTTACGTGTCACTCAGGTCGATATACCAGTTATGCCAGTCTGGATTCGAATCTGATAAAGCCTTCGTACAACTTGATCTCTTATCTTGTAGATCAAAATTCAGCTGTAAACCGCTCCTATGAGAGGCTATCCGTCCACTGTCCTAGTTAACGTCTGGGCAGTAGAGCGACTAAAGCAGACCCCTTAATTAGAGCTACAGCCCCAACTAGTGGCAGGAGGCTGCTTTACAGCTTAGACACATTTAGCCGGCAGTTTTGTTCATACAAAATGTGTGATTCTTGCCCTGACTAGCCAGGTTTCTGTTGTCTACTCATTGCACACATCCCTAGTTGATGGAGGGTTCTGGTTCCTGTTTAATTCACCTGATCCTCTAAATTTGTTTCCAGCTGTCAGTCTATGAAACTGCATGTGTGGTGAGTGTCTTCAAGCATTGCCTCATCCTTGTTGGTCCTTAATCTGATTTGTTGAAAGGCACTCACTTAGCAGAGGTATGTTTCCTCTCCATCAGTAGAGAGTGTTTTTTTTCTGCACTTGTGAGTGACGAGGGCAGGCTCCAGGCCAGGATAGGCCTGACAGCCATGAACGAGTTGAGCATCTAATTAGAGCTGGGGGAAACTCAGCGGGAGCCCGATTTCTGCATTCAAGTTGTCATGCCAACTGCTACACCCAGCCATGAATAGCTGCTCATCCTGAAGCTGATGGGACGTAGCCAAGAGGAACTAAGATCCTTCACCTCCGCTGCTGGTGCCGGGTTTCAAACACTCTGTCTTATTGTGGTTTTGGATCTGTTTGCTCTCTTCCTCTCGCTCTAATATCAACACACACGCTGTTTGTCATCCTAAATAGTTTCTCTTCTGTGCAGGTTTCTGTGTGTTAAGTAATCTGTCTTCTGGCTTTGCACGGAGGTTAATCAAACATGTCTGATTCCATCAAATTCATGAACAAAGCTCCTGTCCATGATCTTTTCTAGCATCAAAAGTAGTACATCAGTAGACTTTCTAGCTGACTTAACATCTGGTTTTGAAAAGGCCAAATTTAGATAAGATAGAAGGGCCAAAGCTCATCCCAGTCGTTCCTTTATATGCCACTCCCAATCCCCTCAGAGACGCCATGTTTCAAGCTCTAAATAGTTTACTGTTTTTACTCTACATTTTTATACTAGTGGGTTAATAAAGTGTAACTATTTTGCTGAGTAATGAAACCCTAAGATAGTGAAGTCAAACTCTCTCTGGATTAGTTGTTCTAAGCTCTGTGTTGACACTGAATGGACGGCGTCTCCTTCATGGACGGCGTCTCCTTCAGCTTGTTTGAAGAGATTCCTGTTCCCAATGTTGTTGTTTTTTCCTATCAACACTCGTCCCTCCGCAACCATTGGTCCTTTCACCATGTGGGGGCAGAGAGACTACCCCGCCCACTCAGCAACGCTGTGTTGAACAGAAGGAGAACTAACAGACTTCACAAACTTCAATAGATTTTCTTTTATTAAACTTAAAGATGCATATTATCACTTGAAATTGGTGGCAGAATCTTCAGATGTTTATCAGCACTTGTTTGCTGCTCTCCATCTCACTGACGCATGCTGGTGCTACTAAAAGGGAGGAGAGGAGGGGGTGCTGAGGGATGAAGAGGGTTTGTTTGAATGGAGCATTTGTTTTGGTCTCAAAACCTGCTGTGAAAGTCACATAGTTTATAGCATAGCTCATGAAGTTGAACATAAATTAAAACAAAAAACAGTGAACTATTCAGTGAGCAGTTCAGAGAAATTGATATGCAGCACATAAATCAATCCCCATACTCACACAGCACACACGCACTACGGCACATATCACACTGATGCTATGTCTCAGTACTTCACATCATTGTTTGATCCCTGCAAAGTTTAAAAGTCTCATTAAGACGTTGTCTTCATTCTTCTCTGTGTCTTTAAAAGGAGAAGGTGCGACTTTTTGATCCAGTAGATGTTGGCCTTGAGCGCCAAGATGAAACCAAAACAAACTCTTGTTGGGCAACACCTTTGTCATACTGAAGCCTCCGCTCTCCTACAGCGACACACGTCCACCCCCTCTCCCCTCACGTTTGAACAAAGAAGTTATCAAATTGGAACGCACCCTAATTAAGCACTAAGCGCTAAGCAGCAGAAGAAATTGTTAATATGTTGAAGAAGGAGTTCATTCAGTAAAAGAATATATTCATAATGTTCTCCTCCGACATGAGGGACAAACATGACTTCATCTGAACATATACTCATGTTCAGTTTCTTGCACACAGTAGCTCTAAGGTTTTTGTCCCCTCAGGTCTGATGGAGATCCTACCCGACCGCTGCACCATGATCGCCAAGAAGGAGTTGGTCTACGCCGGCACCGTGGGTCTCGTCTGCTGGCTCGGCGGCATCGTCTTCATCAACCGCAAGAAGACGAGCGACGCCAAGAGCGTCATGACAGATGCTGCCAAAACCATGTTGGACGAGCAGGTGAACTGACTCGTGTTAGAAGAAAGAACGTCTCGTTTCTGCACTAAATCTGTCCCATAGTTCTGTTTTGTTTTTTGACACACTGGGGATGACATGATGATTTAATCGTTGTTCCCCTCCCCCCTCGCCTGTCGTCCTCTGACCTCCACAGATTCGTTTGTGGGTATTTCCGGAGGGAACGCGAAACCAGAGAGGCGACCTGCTGCCTTTCAAAAAAGGAGCTTTCCACCTGGCGGTGCAGGCACAAGTGAGCACTTTTGCATCTTCCTTTGCTTTCACTTTATTTCTGGACGTTCTGAAAAGTGTAAGATATCCTTTTTGTGTCCTCGCTAGCATGTGAACCAACATTTCCTGTTCTGTAACGCTCACCCTCATCCTGTTTGTGATGATTGTTGAGAGAGGGCTTATGTTGTCGGCAAAGTGCTGATTCTTGACACATGGGGGAGCTAGCAGCCTTACATGGCACACGACAACATGGGGTTTCAAATCTGGAGGGCATGCACAGATAGGACTAAATCAGCCAGAGATATTCACAAGGAAGACTTTGAAATGTTTTTGAAAAGTTTGGTCTGATCACACTGATACTTTGAGCTCTTTTATTGTGAAATTTTGGTCCCCTCCTTTCTTCATATCTGCATGGTGTAACTTCCCCTCAAACCGGTCACACTGATTCAAATCTAGAATATTAAAAGAAGAGCAGACGCGGCTCTAAACACGCTGCGTCTCCCGACTCATTTACAGCTCAGCTGTGTGTGTTTATGAGCGTTGCCTCTGCATGCATGCAGCAGGGAGGTCTCTGTTCCTGAGCTGATGTTTCATAGCACAAACTGGAGGGTCAGACAGGTGGAATGAATTAAATAAAATGTAAAAAAAACAAAAAACGTAGCTGAACCGGATCTTTCCAGAAACCACACTGAGGTTCACCCCCCCAGGCAAACATGTTGGTTTGTACGTGCGAGCCAAATTCTTGTGACTTGCTGCTAAAGATTGATATCGGTTTGGTTCAGAGGCTACGAAAACAAAAGTCTGCTGCTCCTTATTAGTGAACAAATTATCTATATGGGCTGCGTCTATGCTGTAAAAAATAATGTTTGGATGACGATAACAGACGTTTTGGATTGTTGTGTGGCTTTTTGGCCGAATATCTTCATCAAAGTTCTTGAGAACACAATCTGTGTGTTTTCCCTATTTTCCACTTGAGACTAATCCTGAGCGATCAGAGACTATATTCCATCTGTGTGTGTTTTTTTTTTTTTTTTTGTGCTCCTGCTGAGTTATAGCTCAGCCTCTTCATTCGTAACCAGATTGAGTGGAAGCGGGACAGCCCCCAGGGGGGAGCCACGTTTGGCTCAGATTGTCTTGTTGAAGGGCCACTTGGAGCGGGGGCCTCGAGAGAGCAACTCGGCCTCTATTAGCAGCAGCCGAGTGGATGGAGATGGCTGGTGTCGTGCTGGATTAATGTGTGTGTGTGTGTGTGTGTGAGTGAGATGGGGAGCACGAGATGTTGGTTCAGTGAAGCATTCCTGTTTGTTTCTCATTTAGTGTTTTTAGATTTAGAGGTAGAACCAGTCGTGGTGTCAATATATCGCCTCCTTACACAATAATTATTCCTTTAAATTATGAGAGTAGTATTGCAAATGTGTTGTTATTATTATTATTTTGGAACAAGGAAAAATAGAATCAAATTCTTGTTAAGTCCGCTAGAGTGTTTTTGTTCCGAGGTTAGTGAAGATTTGCCCGACCGGCATATCTGATTGGACCACAGCTGCCCTCTCTGTTGCGTGCAGCAGTTTTGACTGGAGGTCAGATTTTTTTTATTTATTTTTTTAACTGTGGGACTTTTTTTGAAGCCATGGATCATTAAAGTAACAGAGATCATATCATCACAACACATCAACAATGTTGACAACAGGACTGTGCAGTGTTTTGCATCCAGTTAAGCTGGACTGTGCGAGCCTCAATACGAGCTCCGTTTGTCATTTGGTTTTTCTGACCCTGTTTTCTCTTTTCCTGAGATAAATATGATTGATGAGAACTGAAAACGTTTCGTTAATTATGAAATGAAACTGATGCTCAAAATGATTCCTTTGCCGTTAAATCAAGATGATGCTTCCAAATATTTTATGTCATTAATTTTATGTCATTCTTTTTAAAAGAATGTCTTCAAATTAAGTTGATTTCTTTTGGCTAGACGATTATGAAAAAACTTGAGTTGTGTTTTAAAAAAGGAACCTTTGTTATAGTAGATTTTATTTGTAAAGCCTGGTAAAAAAGACAGAACACATTGTTTAAGACTGAACTGTGACAGGAGCTGGCAACTTTGTAATGCTATGATATGTAAACGTAAACCACTGCAACTGAATTCTTTGGTGTCTTATAAGCCCATGAGGGTTGGGCACTTTGTGTGCATGACCGGAAAATAAATTAAATCAATCAAAAAATAAGAAAAAAGACAGAAGTGTGGTCAGAATACGGTGTTGCATTATGTTGAGGATTTCTCAGGTCTCTTGTAATTCCCACCACTGCTTATTTCAGGGAAAGAATGGGTGTCAGAAGTCGAATATTTTTGTGTAGTCGACCTGAAATAAAGTTTTGATAATAAAGTTAAACATAACATTTTTAAAATAATTCCCCTGTTTCCTCTCTTGTGTTTCAGGTGCCCGTCATCCCCATCGTCTTCTCCTCCTACAGCAACTTCTACCTACGGAAAGAAAAGCAGTTCAACTCGGGTAACTCGTCTGGATTGTGCTCATGTTTTAATGTGTTTTTATGTGTACGCCGCTCCTCTCACGCTGAAGTGCTGTCTCTCCTCAGGCGTCATCAGATTGAAGATCCTCCCAAAGATCGACACGAAGGGGATGACGTCAGACGACATCACATCCCTCTCCGACAAATCCTTCAACGTGATGCGCTCGGCCTTCTTGAACATCTCCAACTCCGTAACCCAGAGCAACGGGCCGACGCGGCACTGAACACTAACCATTAACCCCTGCGCCGCCTCCCTCTCCCTGCCCTCCCTCCCCCAGACTCTCTCTCTCTCCCCCCTTCCCCCCTCCCGCTGTCCTGCCTCGGGTTGTCTCATTGCCTGGCCAGGACAAAAACAACATGACACAGTTCTCTTGTCATGAAAGCTCTCCTTGTCTGGTCCGCCTCAGGCCTGACAGCACAGCACAGCCAGTCCCGACCCTCACCGAGCGAGCAGCCGCCGCCGCGCTGCTCTGCACGACGTGAGCGGAGTGACGGACGGCGAGCCGAACAGTATGGATGTGTTGTTTTTAATGCATGCCTTTTTATTTTTTTTGGCCTTCATCTTTTGCTTCTTACTTTGTTTGCCTTTATTGCCATTTTGTACCTTTTTATTTTTATTTTAAGCCGTTTTAGCGTACCGCCGTTTTCTCAATTCTCACACCGTCTTCCTTTGGTTTAAGTTTTCTTTGAGACACAGACACACCTTCAAAGTACTCCTTCCTTCCTTCTCCTTTTAGTGAGTTATCTGCTTTTATTTTGCATTCCAGTGTCTTGCCCAAAGACAAAAGGAGCGAGGTCTCCGTGCCGCAGTGAAGGCACGGAGGTGAAGGTCGGCTGTGGACTCGTTTAGTCCTTTTGACACCAACTCCATAATCTCATTTCAAACTCAACAAGTAGACGCTCCATGACATAAATCAAGAGATTCCAGGGGGGTGGGAGCCACATAGTTGAACAACAGCACCCAGCTGTACTGATTTACTGGACCACAGCGGACGGACCAGTTCTCAATGTTGTGCATTGTTGCCGTTTGTTCACTCTCTGCGTGCAGCTTCCAGCAGCAAGTGTCTTCTCGCTGTTTTCTCTTTTACTGCTTTATTTTATTATTTCTAAATCGGGTAATCCTTATTTCTTTTTTTTTTTCTTCTTTGAAAGGATTTTTTCATCAGGCTGAACTCAGAAGAGAAATCTATTTAAGACGTGTCAAAAAAAGGTGATTTCATATTGTGCAATGTTAAACTGTTTTTTTTTGTTTTTTGTTTTTTTTTAAAGCATTTCTGCTCCAAAGTGCAAGCTACCTGCTGTGCCATGACGTCACGTATTGGGGGGTAAATGCCCAATGACAGCTCGTAATTATGTCATTATAAACCTGTTTACTCATCAACTGACTGATTCAATGTGACACCTAGTCCCTGTCCAAGTGATCGAGGGATGTTCCTGCTAAAACAAATAAGGGGGGGGGGGACTGGTGATAAATTGTGAAAAAGATTCAAAGCATTTTGATTTGACTTGGTTTGATTTTAATTCTTCTACTTATTTTACTAATTGACTAACAATCCTGACAAAGTCCTATGGAAGCCCTAAGAGGACAATCATCCCATATTTTTTTTTTTTTCACTCCGTTTCCTTCTTTCCCGTTGTTTTATCGACATTTTAAGTTGTCTGCTCGTTATTGAGGGATACAAATGCTGGAAATCCAGTCATCCAACATCCGAGTTAAGATGTTTCTAACGATCTTAAGCAATAAACCTGTCACAGTTCTCATCTCAAGATGATGACACCAAGAAGTCGAGATCTCAAGTGAACAACTGTGAATAACTCGGCATCATGGGAGAACGGAGTAAAGTAAAACATTTGGTTTAGATTGATCATCTGTGGCACACTGAAAATGACTTTACTGTATTTTAAAGTGAGTGAACAACGTGTTCCGCCTGCAGCTTCCTCAGGTTCGCCCAGCGCTGGGAAACAACAGCAGTGCACCCTGAGGAAGCTGCAGCGAAACACGTCGTTAGACAAAAAATACAGTAAAGTCATTTTCAGTGTGCCATGAATTATTGATTTATTTTTCATGGGTAGTTCCTGCAACCGTGCGCCCCTGAGAACGTATGGGCTGTGCAGGGCGTACCCTGTTGGCTATTTCAAATATTGTCCCCCTAGGGCTTCCGTACAAGTCGACTGTACATCTCTAAATTTATTTTTAATCAAGCGGGAAAACATTGTTTTACTCGTGATGTTCAAACTCACCCTCGGTTGGAGAATATTAGATTATTTAAAAAGTTGTGGAAATTTTGGCCTTAACTTGAGTTTGATTGATTTTTGTCGTTGTTGCACTTTTGGGATTGTTCGGCTGGTTTGCTAACGATAAATTGAAGTGTGTGTTTTTATTTTTATTTTTTAATGTGAACTGGTGGCAACTTCTCACCAGGGGAGAAGTGACTGAACAGGTTTTTATCCAGGTCTTAACATTTCACATCTCTCTCGCCTTTTGTTTTGCAGACTTGATTCTTTTGCAGCTTTTTTACCCCTCAAACCCCCGTCTTGAGAATGTATCGATGCATTCAGGATATTTGTGTATGACTAATTGCATATTAATTTATGACATTATTGTATTCAAGTGGGATGTTGTTTTGGGATTTACAACAAGGAAATGTATTTATTTGACCATTAAATGTTTAAATTTAGACTTGATCAGTACTAAGCCTGTATTCTGATATTCAACAGTAGTTCTAGTGAAACCTGCTGAGCCCATGGCTTTGTGTACCTGTGATATTCATTTATGTTCACAGCCAGATTGGAATTAACTCCTCTAATGTTACTAATTGATTATTAAGGCCCTGTGTCCACCTAGTGTTTGTTTTTTCTGAACGTCAGTGTCTTGAGTAGAGAGCGTTTGCACTAGCAGGCTGCCGCCTGGAGAAAGAGTACAGCCCCCAGTGTCATTTTTTCAGAGTTCTCTGCCTTTGTTGCGGCCACTCCGAGCGCTCAAGTCTGAAATCTTTCAACTTGTCAGAAAGGTGTTGTTGACACCACCAGCGCTCTTTTCCAAATGTATGATATTCCCCGTAGTTTTGCCGCCTACAGATATTGTCTTGTACCCACATCTTCCTTGCTCCGTGTCTGATCGGGAAATAAACAATCTCAAATATAAAACATGAAGTAAAAAGTAACGGCGCAGTGTTGGTCATACAGCGGCCGTTATCAACAGACTGTTGTCATAGAGAACGGAAGGACGTGCAGTTCTTTTCTTCTCAGCGCTTCATGCAAGCGCACAGCCAACAATTTTCTCCCTGGAAAGAATGCCAAGTGGACACGGGGCCTAAGTTAACTTTTTTTCTTAGTTTGAATATATTTCTACGTTTTTTTTTTTTTAATCTGTGAGAGCCGATATCACCTTTCCAGGAAGTGATTTTGAATGTTTAAAAAGTACTCTACCAAATTGATTTCTTCCAAAAAATATGAACTACACCATTTACCATTTTTGCTACTGGAGAAATCCATCCATTTGATTTCCTGCTCAGCTATTTTATAAAAAAAAATAAAAAAAAACATTTTGCTTCAGCTTCACGTCATCGGCTTGAACTTGTTCGCTCGGCAACAACAAACCCTGCTGGTTTTGGATTTCTTTTGAGCAATTGTTTACGATCTAATATGTCAAATATTGGAAAAGTATTCTGAACCTTAATAAAGCACTTTTTCATGCTGCGTTTAGGTGGAACATTAAAAAAAGGACTTTCAAGTTTTCTCTGGTTTTCACCAAAGCTATTAAAGTGTAACTGGTGGTAGCTTTAGATGGAGATGAGAAACAGAGCTGACATCCTGCAGAGCCTTGTGTGTGTGGTCCCTTACTGTATGTGTGGGTGTGTGAATGTGTGTGAATGTGTGTGTGTAAATACGCACACATGGTATAGACGACCGTTATAGTATCTGGTTCATATTGATGATGTAGTGTTCTTGATTTCATCTATTCTGGGTAAACGTGAATGCCTTGCAAAAGAATAAATAAAATTCATTCTTTTTTTTCTTAATTTGCTTTTTAGTGCCTTCATTGGTTTCTATCCAACACGGACTGCAAATTAAACAAAGTACATTTATCTTAAGCATTCTCCTACACCAGAAGGGGTTAATAGATGTGCAAACCTAACTCAGTAAATCTTACACAGTAGTGAGCACACATGTTTTTGATTAAGACTTTTTATTACAAAACATTAGAAAACCAGGTACAAATGTCTATCGGAGCGCTGAGAAATACCTAACAGTAATCATAACTTAAATAGATAAATACAGATGTCCATGTCCGCCTCAGGACAGAGGACACAGCTGCACTGATGCAAAACAAACACAGGAACAAAGTGGACGATTTGACTTTTGACTCTGAGGGGTCTGATTCAGATGTTACAGGGGATGATGTCATGCTGAAACCGGCCCTGCCACAGGTACTGTTACACAATCGAGAATTTGACATTAATCCGCAAAGAAAGGTAAATAGTCGTTGGGAGGGGGAAAGAAAATAACAAAATGATTTGTGCGATGATTGCTACGTAGCACTGCAAGAACTTTCTTTTCCTGCAATCCATCCGTCTTGATGCGTACGATCTCTGGCAGGTTTGGGTCGTTATTCACTTCACTGGACATGTTTGGTGGTTAAGTCTCCTGGCAAGAACCTACAGAGGAGAGCAGATTGAGATATTACTATTAAAGGTCACATATTATGCAAAATACACATGACTGTTTTTCTACACATAAGTGTCTCTAGTCTGTCTTCAAACCCCCCAATCATGAGAAAAGTCCATCCTCTCCGTCTTTTGCCTGCTCCACTTTTCAGAAAATGTCTGCTCAAACAGGCCGTTTGGAGATTTTCCCTTTGTGACATCACAAAGGGCAGTAACCCCTCCCCCAGGTGGGTGATACTCCCACAGCTAGGTGTTTGTTCTGCCCTCTGAGTCTGCCTTCTCACCGTAAACTATAGGACATGGAGCGAGAAAGCCCAAGACAAATGAGTGCTTCCAGAGAGGGGGCGTGGTCAGACCCAGCTCATTTACATATTTAAAGATACAGACACAGAAACAGCCTGTTCATGATCAAATACAGGATCAGAGTGGATTAAGAGCAAGAAACTTCTGGGGAGCTCTGAGACTTATTTACACTTGTTGAAAAGGAGTGAAATATGTGACCTTAAATTGTCATTGATCCACGTTTTTGTTCTTGAAAATTGAACTTATTTAGTTCTATGATTTGAGACATTAATGTGATTTTATTTCCCTTTAATCCTGACTGACACGCATGAAAGGTTGTTGGTTTAAGGGCTTCATAACTGGTCCGGATCTGGACTCCTAAAATAAAACTTTTGACTATAATGTAATAAAACAAAATAAGATTTAGCTCATTACTTCCCAAGGCACATTTTCCACATGTTATTCAATGCTTTTGTTTCGACAAGTTTTCACAGGGAAATCTGCTTCTGTAACGAGATTCGTCACACACGCATTAACTTCAAGTCGTATCTCACAGATTGTGAAGCTGAATTGATTGCATTACTGAGCAGTCCATTTGAGCGACAAAATTAAATAAGTGGAGCAGGAGTCGATTTCACAATTTATACAAGTCTGCCGCTCATCATCCCAAGCTACCAAGTTTCTCCTCTTCCCATCAGATATCACTCGACTACTTCAGCACCCACGGGCCTTTTTTGTCTTCCTAGTCAGAGCTGCACAGCCTAAGTACCCGTGCATGTGCAGTTTTCTTCTTCTGTGGTGAACGTTGCTCTCGTTAAAGAGTCACTAAATCCAATGTATGGGTAATGAGTTGTGCTGTGTTGTTGCTCAATTCAGGTTCAAATCTCAGCATTTGAGTACAAAGTAATTAACATCTACATAGTGACTGCCCTCCACAGGTTGAACCCGGCAATTGCAATTAAATTTTTCTATTGGCTGATCTGGAGGCTAGTAACGTTTGTGGTTCCAGCTTTCACCATCAAAGCTATTAACACTTTTGTTATCCCACATCAGAATGATTTATACGCTTTCAATAAGCAAATACCTGAAAGTGATGACATCCCATTTAGCCTCAACTTTAAGCTAATGTTAGCATGCTAACACTGGATTAGGATGGGCAACACCATTGTGGGTTTGGTAGCATGCAGACATTAGCATAAAGAGCTAAGCCTTGCTAGCACAGATTTAGACACATGTACTTTTTTAAACTTTAATGTCTTACAATTTAAGAGCAAATGTTTTATTTTTACTCACATGTCGATTGACTTAAATGAACTTCTCACCGTGTTATAGCCATAAAGGTTATTAGGTTCAAGGCACAAGATTTTATTATGTTATTGGATTTGCTTTATTATTACTGACTGTAATACATTTTGTTTTATTACATTACGGGAACATTTTGGCTTTGTCATAGTCTCTAATCTGTTTGAAGGAGTCTGAAAACGGTTTGTGCATTCCAGGCAGTCAAGTGGTCTTTGAACAAAAATAGAATTTTCCCTCCTTTTTAAAAGCTACTTATTCAACTACGACCATTCAAAGGTCGGCCTGCGGTCACTCACAAGTGCCGAGTCGCTCCTCCAGAAAGCCGATCTGCTCACTGAGGGAGTCGATGCGGTCCAGCTGCTGGAAGGAGTGGGACAGTAAGGTGGTTTTTTCTGACAAACCCTCGTCCAGCGACAGGGGGAAGAAGTTGTTGAAGGGGGCCAACACCAACTGTAACTTCTGCACAGAGGGAGAAAGAGGAGGGGAAGTTAGAGTCGAGAGAAAAGTACTCCAGAAAAGAAAACGGACCATCTACATATTGAAAGAGCAGCCATTTTCCTCTGTTGTAACACTCTAAGACACCCTGGTTTTGAAGAGTCCCTGTCCAAGTTTTAACCAACCAAAACAATACACCATGCTTGGTCTAGTCTCGGTCTCGCCCTGCCTTGGTCGTGGGCTTGACTCGGTCTCAATCCCTAAATGTCTTGGTCGTGGTCTTGGTCTTGACTCGGTCTCAATCCCTAAATGTCTTGGTCTTGGTCTTGGTCTTGACTCGGTCTCGATCCCTAAATGTCTTGGTCTTGTGTTGTTCTCTAAGCACTCTTGTCTCGGGTATCTCTTGGTCACGGTTAGGGTGGTCTTGACTTAACCAACCAAAACAATACACCATGCTTGGTCTAGTCTCGGTCTCGCCCTGCCTTGGTCTTGGTCTTGACTCGTTCTTGATCCCTAAATGTCTTGGTCTTGGTCTTGACACGGTCTCGATCCCTAAATGTCTTGGTCTTGGTCTTGACACGGTCTGGATCCCTAAATGTCTTGGTCTTGTTCTTGACTCGGTCTGGATCCCTAAATGTCTTGGTCTTGTTCTTGACACGGTCTAGATCCCTAAATGTCTTGGTCTTGGTCTTGACACGGTCTGGATCCTAAATGTCTTGGTCTTGGTCTTGACACGGTCTGGATCTCTAAATGTATTGGTCTTAGTCTTGACTCGGTCTCGATCTCTGAATGTCTTGGTCTTGGTCTTGACTCGGTCTCGATCTCTAAATGTATTGGTCTTGACTCGGTCTGGATCTCTAAATGTATTGGTCTTGACTCGGTCTGGATCTCTAAATGTATTGGTCTTAGTCTTGACTCGGTCTCGATCTCTGAATGTCTTGGTCTTGGTCTTGACTCGGTCTTGATCTCTAAATGTCTTGGTCTTGGTCTTGACTCGTT